TATACGCGGCGGAGGCCCCGCCCCACGGCGGCCCCGCCCCTGCTCCGCCCCCGGCCCGGAGTAGCGTCCTCAGCCCTGTCCCGCCGCCTTCCTCGGGCCTCACTTAGGCAGTAGAGCTGGGGAACATCCCTCTCCGGGGCGCAGAGGAAGCGGGGCCCCTTCTGGGTGGTACTGGGGCCCGTGTCCCTGCTTTGCTGAGCCCAGGTGTCATGTTCTCTAACGCTCCTGCCGCCTCCATGTGGACTTGGCCTCTGTGCCAGGTTGCATGGGGACTTCGAGAGCATCCCCCTGCCTTTGTCAGTGACCATCCCCGTGCAGACGTAGAATCTCCCATTCTGTTGAGGGTGTGTAGCCGGAAAAGAGGCAAGTGCAGGCCCCCTCCCCACCCAAGCCTGTCCTGCTGTGTTGGGGGTCTTTGCATCCCTCCCCGATGTGGCTACTATTGCAGGAAGGGCTGCCCGGGCAGCAGTCCTGGGCTGGGCGGGGAGAGGTGGTTGTGGCTGGCAGGGGCTGCAACCAGGAATGTGTGTCCAGGAATGCAGTGCTGGGCCTGGGGGGTGGGGCGTGGGGGAGCTGGGGGCATTGTGGGGGAGATAGAGAGCTGAGGGGTGTATCGGAAAGGGAGAAGGCTTGGAGGTCCTGTGGGGTACATGAGATGGCGTAGGACCAACGGAGTGCACATGGGTGGGGTCACCCATGGCCACTTCATCCCAGTGTCCCTGCCTTGTGGCTGCCACTTTGGTGCCTCAGGGCCCCACCAAGGGAGGGAGCCCACGGGCGATGAGGTCACCACGTCTGTGGCTGCCCAGAGCCCTGGCCAAGGAATCCAGTGGCGGGGGAGGCGCGGGGCTGGCACCACTTCAGTGGAAAATGTGAAGGTGCAGCCGGCGCCTCTGGCCGAGGGTTGGGGGGGTGGCGGGCCTCGGTGCCACGTCAGACCTGGGGCAGCAGAAGGGCATGCACAGGGTTGGGGTCAAGGACCAGCAGGCACCAGCTACATCTGCTGCCTACAGGACATCCGGAACACGGTGGGCAACGTGCCTCTGGAGTGGTACACAGAATTCCCCCATGTGGGCTATGACCTGGATGGCCGGCGAATCTACAAGCCGCTGCGTACCCGGGATGAGCTGGACCAGTTTCTGGACAAGATGGATGACCCTGACTACTGGTAGGGCTGGACCGGGAGAACCCGGGTTGGGCAGGGTGTGGGTTCCCAGGAACAGACCAGTCTGACCAGCAGGTGTGCTGCTGCCCGCAGGCGGACTGTGCAGGACCGGACCACAGGCAGGGATGTGCGACTGACGGATGAGCAGGTGGCCCTGGTGCGGCGGCTGCAGAGGGGCCAGTTTGGGGATGTGGGCTTTGACCCCTACGAGGTAGGTGCTAAGCGGCAGCCCCTGGGAACAGTGCCAGGTTGGCAGAACGTATAGTCCTTCACATTGACACTTTTCCTCCTAGCCGGCTGTGGACTTCTTCAGCGGGGAGGTCATGATCCACCCGGTGACAAACCGCCCTGCCGACAAGCGTAGTTTCATCCCGTCCCTGGTGGAGAAAGAAAAGGTGCCTGCGGATCCCAGTGCCCTGCCCCCCCCCCTCCCGGGGGCGGTTGCCCCCTCTCCTCATCCCACCTCCACCCTGGAGACTGCCCTCTCTCTCGTACTTTGATCCTAAGGTGGGAACCCTCTGTGCCAGGTCTCTCGGATGGTGCATGCCATCAAAATGGGCTGGATCCAGCCTCGCCGGCCTCGTGACCCAGCACCTAGCTACTATGACCTGTGGGCCCAGGAGGACCCCAATGCCATCCTGGGGCGCCACAAGATGCATGTGCCTGCCCCCAAGTTGGCCCTGCCTGGTCATGCCGAGTCCTACAACCCCCCTCCCGAGTACTTGCTCAGTGAAGAGGAGGTAAGCTGGACGGGTGCTGGGGGGATGGGGTGTAGGAGGGCCCTTAGGCTCACCACCTGCGTCCACAGCGCCTGGCCTGGGAGCAGCAGGAGCCCTGGGAGAGAAAGCTGCCCTTCCTGCCTCGCAAGTTCCCCAGCCTGCGCACAGTGCCTGCCTACGACCGCTTCATCCAGGAGCGCTTTGAACGCTGCCTCGACCTCTACCTGTGTCCCCGACAGCGGAAGATGCGGGTACATGGACTGAGTGTGGGTGGGGGTGCAGGCTGGGGCCCCCAGCAGGGGTCCTATAGGAGTGACCAGACTGAAGGAGCCTTCCCTCCCTACCCCAGGTCAACGTGGACCCAGCAGACCTCATCCCCAAACTGCCCCGGCCACGGGACCTGCAGCCCTTCCCCACGTGCCAAGCCTTGGTGAGTGTGGGTGAGGTTGGGGGTCAGCAGGGACCTCAGCAGGGCATCATTACTATCCCCTTTGTCCGCAGGTCTACAGGGGTCACAGTGACCTGGTCCGCTGCCTCAGTGTCTCCCCAGGGGGCCAGTGGCTGGCTTCAGGTGAGCCCAGGGTGGGCAGCAGCCTTGGGGAGAAGGATGGGGAGGCAGGGAGCCACTTACCGAGGGTCTTCTTGCCCGGATGTAGGCTCAGATGATGGCTCGGTGCGCCTCTGGGAGGTGGCTACCGCCCGCTGCATGAGGACCGTGCCTGTGGGGGCTGTGGTGAAAAGTGTCACCTGGAATCCCAACCCTTCTGTCTGCCTGGTGGCTGCGGCCATGTGAGTGGGGCTCGGGGGCGGGGATGTGGTGTGGCGTGGCGCGGCCCGGCAGGGGTGGCAAACTGAGGGCTGTGTGTGGTCCACAGAGAGGATGCTGTGCTGCTGCTGAATCCAGCCCTGGGGGACCGGCTCGTGGTCAGCAGCACTGACCAGCTGCTGAGTGCCTTCAGCTTGCCTGAGGAGCCAGCCCAGCAGCCTGCCCAATGGCTGGAGGCCTCAGAGGAGGAGCGGCAGAGTGGCCTGCGGCTGCAAATCAAACACATCAAGGTGGGAGATGCAAAACGGGGGCTGTTGGGAGCGGACGTCAAGGAAGGATAGACAAGCTCAGTCCACTTCTGTGTCCCCACAGCCGGTGAAACAAGTGGCCTGGCACGGGCGTGGGGACTACTTGGCCGTGGTGCTAGCAGCCCCAGGGCACACGCAGGTGCTGATCCACCAGGTCAGCCGGCGTCGCAGCCAGAGCCCCTTCCGCCGAAGCCACGGGCACGTACAGTGTGTGGCCTTCCACCCGACTCGGCCCTTCCTGCTGGTGGCTTCTCAGCGCAGTGTCCGCCTCTACCACCTGCTGCGACAGGAGCTCACCAAGAAGCTGATGCCCAATTGCAAGTGGGTGTCCAGTCTCGCTGTACACCCTGCAGGTGAGGCCGCCAGATGGGGTCACCAGGGCTGGAGGCCAGAGGCCAGGTGGCCACTGGAACTCACTCCTTGTGCTCTACACTAGGTGACAACATCATCTGTGGTAGCTATGACAGCAAGTTGATCTGGTTTGACCTGGATCTCTCCACTCGGCCCTACAAAGTGCTGAGGTACGGGGATGGGGTTGGCAAGTGGGCAGCTTAGCTCTTGGCCCTGGGCCCATCAGTGACCTGTCTCCACACCCCCACCAACAGAAATCACAAGGCAGCTCTGCGGGCTGTGGCCTTTCACCCCCGGTACCCACTCTTTGCCTCTGGCTCTGATGATGGTAGCGTGATTGTCTGTCATGGCATGGTATACAAGTGAGTACCCCCTGCCCCTGCCGGGTGTCCCTGCCTGTGCCCAGGACTTCTGCCCCCAGGCAGCTCCCCTGACTGTACCCTCTCCTCCCCAGTGACTTGCTGCAGAACCCGCTGCTGGTGCCGGTGAAGGTGCTCAAAGGTCACGTGCTGAACCGGGGCCTGGGGGTGCTGGATGTGGCCTTCCACCCTACCCAGCCCTGGCTCTTCTCCTCAGGGGCTGATTGCACAGTCCGTCTCTTCACCTAGAGCCTAGACCACCATTCCTAGGGAGTACTGGTGGTCCCCAGTCTCAATAAAACAATTTTTTTTCTTCACGTTGTTTGCATACTGATCCTTCACTTGGGCCCTTTGGGGCTACCCGACCCTGACCCCAAGGCGCAGAAGGAAAGGCCATGGGTCGGCATGTGCCCAGCGCTGCTGGGGGGCACATGGCTTTATTGCAAAATGAAGGTGTGCAGGGGTGTCTGTCCTGCATCGTCGTCCTGAGGAGAACTGGTCCCTCCCAGCTCCTAGCAGGGGTTTCAAGGGGCTGAGCCTGCCCGCTGAAGGTCCCGACAGGAAGTGGCCACGGGTGTCTCAGGCAAACTTCACCAGGCGGCCCAGTGTCTCTGCAGCCTTCATGCGCACAGCAGGCACGGGGTCCTTGAGCAAGAGCTGGAGAGCTGGGTGGGGACAGAGGGCACCAGCCATACCAAGACCTGAGTCCAAGGTGCCCCTTTGCTCCGACCCCCCCAGTGGACCCCCCTGCCAGCTCTGACCACTCCACCCCCCAGCAGTCCCCTGCCAGCTCTGAGCCCCCCTCAGCGGTCCTCCCCAGGCCAGGATGCGCTGGCGTCTGCATGTGGGCTCCACCACCTCCAAACAGACCTGCAGGGAGGGTGCAAGAGCCAACGGAAAGATAGTTTTTCCTTTTTTAGTGTTTTTTAAGCTCTTTTGGAACAGTTAGGAAGTTTCCGTGAATTACTAGAGACGATGAGGTCACCAGTGACAGGGAAAAAATCCTTGAAATCCAGGAAAATCACTTAGCCCCTCTGGTGCCCGCAGGTCAGCACTGCCCAGCAGGCCAGACAGCTTGGGGATTTGACAGGGACCCCTGGACAGCTGGGTGCTCTGGGGCCCTGAATGGGGAGAGATTTGCTGCAGCTCAGGGAGGGCCCAGCTCCCACTCACCGGCCACGAGCTGGTCTAGGTCCACCTGCTGTCGTTGCTCACGATCTGCGTGAAGCACCAGGAAGCCTGGGTGTGGGGGGCAGGCAGTCAGGGCCTGTGGCCTCCTGAGGACTCACCTGTGAAAAGGGCGGGAAGCTCACCTGTGAACATGGGTGCAGCGGCCCGTATGTCCTCCCAGCCACTCTTGAAGTAGAAGAGGTTCGTACTCAGCAGACGGCCCAACAGGTCAGGGAAGTGGTGCATCTACAGAGGCCATGGGGTGGGGTGGGGGTGGGGTGTCAGGAGCCCACCTTCATCCATCCTGCCCCGCCCTGCCCTGCCTCCAGGCAGCCGCACCAGGTGTTTGCAGGTGATGTTAAGGAACTCGCCAAAGTGCAGGCCACGGCCCTCCTGCAGGTGCTTCTGGACAGTGATTGTCAGCTCTTCACACCCCAAGTTGGGGCCACACATGCACAGAGCAAACCTGCAGGCCTGGGGGACATGAGGATGAGCCCCGGCTGGGTTGCCTGCTCCCCCTCCCCCTTGCCATACTTACCTCTACAACTGTGGGCTGAGGGTCACGCAGGTGTAGCAGCAGTGGCACCAGCGCACTGACCGTCTGCTCCAGGAACACATCTTCACAGTCTCCCTGACAGACCTTGTTGAGGTGTCCAAACAGGTGAATAGATGCCTGGCGAAATTCCATCTTCTCCTGAGGACAGTGAGGGTCACTGCACAGCCACCACCCTCCCACCCAGGCCACCTGATAGGTTTCTGAATGGAGGAGCACTAGGGGCCTGGCTAATGGTCACAGGGGGTGGAGGAGCTTACACTGTCGAAGAAGGGCCGGCTGCGGATGGCAACGTGCAGCAGCACTGTGCGCAGGTCCCACGGCTCCACCAGGTCCACTATCCTCGCCAGGCCCACCATAGCCTCCAGGGCCACCAGGCTGTGCGGGTCATCTGTGTCATCCAGTCCCCCAATCAGCACTGCCAGGAGCTGGGGGCCATGAGCTGGCACCTGAGAACGGATCGAGCACGCTCAGCGCACTGGGTTCCTGCCTGCACCACAGCCACACATAGGCCCCTCCCCCCCACGTGGCCACCCACCTGGGGGCACACACCTTGTCTGGGGAGCCTGATGCCAGGTTGGCCAGCCCCCTGAGCACCAGCCTCCGAACACTGGGGCACGTGTCCTTCTGCCGGGCTGCCAGGTTGTCCAGCAGGGACTCCAGAAGCATCAGGTCATTGACTGCATTACTGCTGAGCAGCTGAAGGCAGGGACACTGTGACGTCCTGATGCTCATGTCCCTAATATGTCCTCCCTACCGAGTGTCCCCCAGCAAAACCACCAACATTGGGAAGGCAAGGCTGACTGTAAGCCCTACCATGAGGCCTGTCCCCCACTGTTTCTAGGACACAGTGGGGAGTGAGCTGAGGGCCTGAGTGGCTAGAGGTGGCTCCAGGGATGTGGGGTTCTGGGACCAGTCATACTACACCTGGACTGAGGTACTGCTGCTTCACAAGTGACTCTGACCTGTGGCCACGTGGAGAGCCACGTCCACTCCAGGCTCTGCCTATCCTGAGCCCTTACCTCTGCTAAGAAGGCTGTGGAGGTGACCTTCTGGGTCTTGTATACACTGCTCTGGGTGGACAGAAGGGCCTTCATCACCAGGGGCAGCCGGGGACCTGCGTGCTTTGCCATGGCCCTAGAGGAATAGGTCAGAGTGTTGGGTTGTGTCCACTTCGCCCTGTCCATGATCCCCAAGCCCAGGGCCTGGCATCTCAGACATGATTTAGGTGCTGGGGCAGGCAGTGTCTCCTCCAGGAGCTACCCCCAGCTGCTAGGCCACGTGTCTCCACTGTGGGTGTTCATCAGTGGTCTCTGGCACCCTAGGCAGTCCACCCAAGACACCATCCAGCCACAGTGCTGGACCAAGCGCCATGCTGGTTCAGGCTTTGCTGTGCCCACAAGTCTCTGAGTGGCTCAGTGCCACCCAGGAGGGTACTGCTCACCTCGCCAGATGGGTGACACCCTCCTCATGCCCTTCAGAGGTCCTCAGCAGCTCCCAGCCTCCCTGCAGCTCCAAGTGCCGAACCACGTCTTCACTGCCACCCCTCAGCAGCATGGCCTGCAGTGTGTCCACGGCAGAGCTGTGAGGATGTAGGTACATGAACATGTAAGGACACCTGCCCAAATATACATACATGACGTGCAAAGTTGCCTCAGTGCCCTGTGCCCAGCCTGGGATGGCCTTCAGGAAGCTCCAAGGCCACTTAGGGCAGTTCCCATAGTGACCCCCCTGCTCCACCAAGGGCCCTTTGGGAGCTGAGCTGTTGGAGGCGGTTGTGGGGCCACTCTGCTCCACTAGCACCCTGGGCTCCCAAGTTCCAGCCTGCACTGGCCTCCCCTGCCCAGATGGGGTACGAGAGGACATGGAGGGTTGTTGAGTCAGAGGCTCAGGTGTGGAAACATGGCCTAAGGGAGGCACTCAAAGGTGGTGGCAATGCTCTGGGTGCTGTTCCCAGTGAGGGGACAAGGACAGCCTTCTGATTTGCCATTAGGACTGACAGTGAAAAGGCAGAAGCAGGGACCCCCAGCAGTACATCCAGTCTGGACACCCCAGATCCCCCAGCAGAGCACTCATGGGTTCTGAACAGGGCTGGATGGGGAGCTGCCTGGAAGTCTGCCAAGTGGCACCAATTTGGACACTGAGTGAGGACACTGGCCAAGGCAGACCCCTGGCTCTCACTTCCCCTCCAGAGGACCTTGACTGTTGCCCAACTCTGCCCATCTGCAACTCAGATGGCTAGTGCCCTTCAGACCATTTCCACCCAACTCCCATCCCTGGGCCTGCATCCTACTAGGCCTCTTCCTGTCCATCAGAGACCTTGAGCTCTGGCCACCTGGAGAGCCGCATCCACTCCACAAGAGGCCACCCTAGGGACTCCTCTAGTCCCCCAGACACCGCAGAGCCTCCCCACTGTCCTGCCTCTGCCGTGTGTGTGTCCCCCCCCACTGCCCCCGGCAGGAACTGGAAACCTTTTGTACAGGAAATGAGTCTGATACCGTACCCTCTCCAGGGTCCTCTGGAATCCAGACTGCCCCTCACAGATAGAGTCCTTCCCGCTCAGCAGCCCGGGGCGGGACCAGCCCAGAGCCTGCACACACCTCCCCTGCATACCTCCCCTAGCCGTCTGCTGGCAACAGTGCATGTGAGCCCCAAGGGCCCACAGTAGATGGCAACGGGAGGGACCTGGTGGAGGGGGCCAATGACCGCCTGATTGGAGAACCGACCTGGCAGGGTTCCACCCTGCAGGGCAGACCTGCCTCCTCCCAGGGCCCTGTGTCCTTGCTGCTGTCCTAGGCAGTTACACTGTCCATCCCGCTTGGACTGCTGGGACACCAGAAGGCAGCTGGCCCAGGCCATAGCCCTAGTTGAGCCTTGTCAGCACACTACTAGGGTGCCTCCCCTTGACTCCATCACACAGCCTGGTCTACCTGGGGGGGGGGGGTTGCATGAGCCCCTGGGTTATGGGAAGCATGCAAAGGATCTGTGAGCTCCCTTCTCTGATCACAGGTGGCCACAGCCACAGAGCCCTGCTGATTCAGATACAAGCCTCCCTTTTGCTCGGGCTCCAAGGCCAGCCTCGGTCAAACACTGTCAAGCCAGGGGCTAGAAAGGAGCAGATGCAGTGCTTGGTGGAAGGGAGGCCTGGTGGCCCATCATCCACTTAGTCTGTGATGAACAGGGTCAGTGTGGCTGCCCCCTCTGCAGGTGGACATATGCACACTCAGGCCACACCCCAGGGCAGACATGTGAACAGCCTGACGCTAGGACAGATGGGCAGGGCAGATGCCCTCAGCTAGCAGCACCGTGCACCTGGAATCCCCATATGCAAAACCCCAAGGTCCAGAGAGCAGGAGCTGACCAGACCAGCCTGCTATTAAAGCCCAAGCCACCCCTCAAACAGGGCTAGAGACGCAGGGCCTGGGGGGGGGCAGGAAGAAGGGCTGTGTCTACGCTGAGCTTGTCTGAATTTGGGCTCTGTGTGTAGAAAGCTAAGCAGCTGAGACACTGGTCTCTGGGCCCAGCTCCCAGGACAGTCGCAGTGCCTGTAGGGTGTGAGGTTCCAGGAGGCTACGGCCACAGCATCTTCAGGAACCCCAGAGTGGACACACGAGGTAGGGAGAGGGTGGGGAACCCTTTCCTGAGAGCACAGAAAAGGCATGCACACTCACACTGCCCACACACACCACGCCTGTCGCCACTGCTGAAGCCGAGGCCCTTACCTACAAGGTTCCAGGCTCCTGGTGGCTGAGGGGGTGCTGAGGCCCCTCTTCTCCTTACTTTGCAGATTCCGGGGCAGCTGGACACCCACTGTGCAGCTGACTCGCAGGAGGAGAGCCACAAACAGCTCAGGATAGCGCTCCAGCACAGCAGGCCCAGAGGCTGGGGTGGACAGCACCTCATACAATGCACACGTGGCCTGGGGGTCCCACAGAGGTGCCACCTCAGCCCACTCCAGTAGCAAAGGCTGGGCCTAACTCCCAAGATACCACCCACCATGCAGCTTTCCTGCAGTGTCTGAAGGTTGAGTTCATGAAGGGTAGTGGGCAGTACCATCTAGGCAGGGATAGGGGTCACAAGCAGGAGGGGACAGTGCCACCGCCCCTGGATGGGCTGTCGGCAACTTCAGGACAGTGGGAGGAGGAAATTTTCACAGCTGTTTTACTGCTTAAAAAGTGACCAAGCTGGGTTTGTTTTCTTTTTTTTCTTCTTCTTCTTCACGGGTTGAAATGCAAAACCATCTCCCTCGAGGACAGACACCTGACAGACTTTTACGAGCCTGCTTGTTGGAGCCTGGGGGTGGCTGCCAGGTGCTGGCCCAGGCCATGTGGGGAAGGGCCCAGGAACCACACAAAGCCAGCCCCTACCCGGGTCTCTGGGCCATGATGACTGGATGGGGTGGGCAGAGACCGAAGAGGGAAGGAGTGCTGAGGTCAGGGACTCTGGATGCGCTCACCGTGAGGGGCAGTGTGGTGGCCACACGGTCGGGGGTGCTACTCAGTAAGAATGACCGGCTCTCCTTGAATGGGACGTCCCGGCTCATCTTCTCCAGCAGTAGCCCCAGCACCTGGGCGGTCAGGTTGGGCTCCACAGCCAGGGCCCGCCACAGGGTGCAGGTGTGACTGGGGCAAGCAGGCACAGTCACCTCAATGTGTGCTGCCTTTGCTTCTGCAGCTCCCTGGCCCTACACCCCTCGGACATGCCTGCTAGATGGGGGCTGGTTCTCATCTGACCCCACAGGTCTGCAGGAGAGGCGGCTCCATCCCAGCCTCAGGAGCCCGTAACCAAGTCAACACAGGCGGAGAGCAGCACAGGGAAGCCAGGCACACCGAGAGAGAACATGGCTATACAGGTGCCACCAGGCACAAGCAGGCTTAGTCTGCAAGGGATCAGAGACGCTGGGGCAGCTCAGCTCTGTGTCTCAGAGGAACAAGGGGCAGGTCACAAGCTCTCCAGTGGAGCCAGGGCATTTTGACACTGGATCCAACAGACTGGACAAGAGAACAGCTAAATAGCTCCTTCAGAAATCACAAACATTCCAAAGTCTCTGTAAACTTTCATTAAAATTAACAGTAATAATTTAAAAAAAGATGACAAACACGCACTCAATGGATGTGCTCGACTTCAGCCTAGACAAGACCAGAGAGACAGTAGGAAGAAAGGTCAGACACTACCCAGAACCCAGCTCTGAGAAGGAAAAGAGAGGGGCAGGAAGCAGCTGTCACAGGACAAGGTCTAACCCGTCTGACTGGAGGTCTGGAGGCAGACGGAAGAAGGCGGCAGCCAACACCATCAGAGAGATAAAGGCCAAGGACAGAAAATGCCCACATCCAACTCAGGATGCTGGCCACGTCCAGAACAACTCCAGCAGGCACACAGGGGCAGCCAGCAAGCAGCTAGAGGGGAAATCCGCTTTTACTTCAGAAATGACCAGCGTGGTGTCTGCCTCCACAGGTATGACCAGAGTTGACATCTCAGAGACACTGTGAGGAATATCGGCCAAGCTGGAATTCCAGATTGCAAGAGAAACAAAGGCAGAAAGCGACACTAGCACACCTTCACCTCTGGCAGAAGGAAGGTGACCTAGACCAAGCATGATGTGGTAACAGGTAGACAGAGGACCAGAAGCTACCACTCTGGGAAGGTGACCATCAGCACCTGTGCTGAGTGCCTACAGGAGCCTCTTGGAACCACAGAACATCTTCTAAAATGGCCTGGAAACAAGTAGCTTAGCTCTTCAGATGCCCCTTCTCAGTCCTGACTACTCCGTTTTGCCTCATCTCCACAAAAATCACTTACACACACTCAAAGTGGAATTCTATGACTTTCAAGTGTCATGAAATGCTATACTTCTGATGTTTTTTTTACCATTTATAAACATAAAACCCATCCTTAGCTTATGGGCCACACAAGAACAGTGACTGGGCCAGATGTATGTGGCTGGTCCCAGACCTACACCTGCACAGGAAACAGAGCCGTCTGGCCACCACAGGACAGACAGGAACAGCAAAAGCATCACTGTCCCTAACAGCCCCTGAGCAGAAAACACCTAAAGCTCAAAGCAGAACCAAACAGCTGTGAGAAGGGGGTGCCTGCCTGATGCACTAACAGCAGGTCCCAGGTCTAGTGACAGGGTCACACAGCTCTGGGTTCCAGGGGGCTCAGCTGAGGGTGCAAAAGCCCACCAGGAAGGTGGGGGGAACATCACTGCCACTCACACTAAACAAAGGACAGAGGGGAGCAGAGAGCAGAGGAAGCAGCAAAGGCCACTAGACATGGACTGCACAGCAGAGTGACAATGAACTTAGGGATTACCCCAGCACCTGGAGCGGGCTCAGACCCATGCGGGCTCTATGAGCTGGTCTGAGTGGTTTGGAAAGGGAAGTCTTGAGACAAAAGAAATACAGTTCCAAGGGGGATGGGAGTAAGTTATGAAGGCCTCGAGGTGATGTAAGTGGTTTACAGCTGATAACTGATAATCAACCATAAGGTTATCAGTTCAAACCCACCCAGGAGCTACAAGGAGGAAATGGGGGGGGGGCTCTACCAATCAGCAACAGTGACTGGTATGGTACCATCCCTCAAAATATAGAGACCAGGTGAGACCAGCCCACTGAGGGCCTAGGACACTGGTGAGCGAGAGAAGGAGCCCAGGCTTGGGCAAGCACAGAGCCCCTGGAGTCTCCTGAGACACAGGGACATTATGTAAGAAGCACATCATGGACAAGAGGTGTCACCGCTGGGGAATGAGGGCTCCCCTCTCATTCAAAAAGGTATCACCGGCTGGCAGAGAAACTAGACCTGGCAGAGTGAAGTCAACGGAAAGCACTGGGACCTGGAGGTGCTGACAAGGTCAGAAGAGAGGGAGGTGGCCCAGGGAGTGAGGGGCTTCCCATGTGGCCTGAGGGCAGAAGCAGCTGGCAGGGGTGTGTCAGAGGCGAGGTGAGGCAGGAACACTGCAGGGAAAAGAGCAGGGAACCTGACCAGGTCTCGGTGTCCACTGCAAGGGAGCCAATGGAGAAGGCAGGGTGGTCTACTTGGTCACATGAGAGAAGTTTAGGGGAAGACAGGCAGAGACATTAGCTGGCTGCCCAATGGATGGACAGAAGCGAGTCCCTGTCACTGAGAGGGCTGGATCAAGGCCTTCACTCTACATGCCTGTCATCCCACCCCGAGCAGGAGGTTTCAGTGAACAGAGGAGTGCGGGGGGTTGGGGGGGTGTTCTGGTGCCAAGCAGAGGCTGGATAATACCTGTCGAAGGGCAAGGGGCTGCCCAGGAGGCTGGACACAACGGCAGCACAGTGCTGGGAGGCCAGTAAGTACACACTGAGCTGGGCAGCCTTCAGGACATGCTCCTCCTGCGTCTCCTGCAGCTTGGAGTGCAGCACACTCACAATCTCGGGAACCTGCACAACGCAGGTGTCACGGGAAGAGCGTGCCTCACCTGCACCTCCCTTCCAGGCTTCTCTTGGGTGGAACCTCTCAACACAGCAACCCCCTTACACTGCCCCTTACACCTCCTGTGGTACAGTCTTCCACCTGGCCCTCTCCAGCCGTCCAGTACCCAGACCCTTTGCCTCCCAGGTCCCTGTGGTTTCTCAAGCTCCAGCAGGCACAGACTCTGCCCCCAGCCCCACCTGCCCCAGCAAGGCCCCCGTCCACTTTGCCCAGCAGCCGCCACCCCACTCCTTCTCCAGCAGGTGCCCACCCCTGGCCCTGCCTCTCCACCCATCCCCTTCTAAAGTGGCCCAGCCCCACCCTGCCTACCTTCTCCTGTAACTCCAGCCTCAGCCCCACCCTGGCCTACCTTCTCTGGTAGCCCCACAACCCCACCTTGCCCACTTTCTCCACAACTCCCAGCCCTGCATCAGCCCCGCTCCCACCCACCTTCTCCAGGAGCATGGTGCCCCGTTCCTTCAGCAGACAGTTGATCATGACGGTGGCGGCGCGGGAGCAGTTCTTGTCAACGTCCCCCAGACCTTCGAACATGGTGAGCAGGAGACTGATGAGCTGATCTGGTGGAAGGCGCTTCCCAATGACCTAGGGGGACCATCATGTCAAGAGGCCACAAGCAGCTCACTTCTAGCCTCAGTGAGAAAGGCTGGGGCTGCACCCAGGCCTAGCAGGCGCTCCACATGGTGAGCAGAGGCAGGGCAGTGTGAGGAGGCAAAGGCACATCCCTCTGCCCCAGCACCTGGGCTATGCTGTGACAGGTGTGGAAGAGCACTGTGGGGTCCGGGTGCACCAGGCCTTCCTTGAGGGCGAGGAGTCGCTCAGCTACTTCATCCTGATAGTCCTGAGCAAAGCCTGCAAGAGAGAAGGGCCAGGGCCAGGGGCTCCCTCCTTCCCCTCCCACATTCCAGGCCAGGCCCACACGCTGGCAGCTCATGAACCACTAGCTCACCGTCATAGCGCAGCTGGAGGTAGAGCAGACAGTGGACACAGCCCACAGCCTCCTGGCGGGTAGCTGGCCGCAGGTCGGCACAGCGTGGAGCGAAGAGGCCGATGAGGAGGCCCAGGTTGTGGAAGGGCACCAGGGCCTGGGGGGGATGGAGGCCACGGGGAGGAGCTGGACTGTGCAGTCCTCTGCCAGGTGCAGCAGCCCAAACCCTTCAACCCGCAGGGCCCCTGCTGTAGGCAAGAGGGATCACGCCGGTGCCACAATGCAGTGGTGGGACCCCTGTCCCCCAGGTGCCCACTTGGGACCAGGCTGCAGTCACAGGCGCAGCAGCCAGGCAGATACTGACTTGGAGTGCATCTCCCACCCCACCCCACTCAGCACAGCCTGGGGGGCCAAGGACATGGGCACAGAGTGGGATCTGCAGCTACCCTGAGAGTCCCCTGCCCAGAAGGCAGGCCCTCACACTCAAGCCTCAGGTCCTGCCCCCTCTCCACTCAGCCCTTGCACTGACATGTCCCGTGTTCAACAGTCCTCAAGCCTTCCTGCTTTGCCTGTGTCTCCCAAACACGCTTCAAAGAGGCAGCACCCTGCATCTGCAGAGCCCCAAGAGTTGCCAATGGAAGGTGAGAAAAAGGATCAGGTTGGGGGGGGAAGGGCTGGGGCTCCCATGGCCAGGAGAGCTGCCTGTCCCTGTCCCCGTATGTGGATACTTGTCAGCAGCACCAGGACAAACTGAAGGAATGGCCATGCAGGGACAAACAAGATGCAGCCAGGGCAGGCCAGGGGCAGAGAGCCCAAGTGGAGCCCAGGGCATTTGTGTGTCTGAATAAAACAAAAATAGAAGTCAGGCTGACAGAGGACAAAAAACTTTCATGAGCTCTATTCTCTACTTCTGACAAAACCCCTTGTAAAACATGAAAAGATGCTTCCAAAACACAACCAACAGTGAACTAGGACACCATGCTGAGCCTGGGTACGGCCAGGCTGTGCCACGTGGGATCGTGTTCTGGTGCATAAGGTGACTGGGGACATATAATTACCAGGATTGGGGAGTGACATGATTGATTATGCCCAAAACCACAAACACAAGCATACGTGAACTAAAACCCATGAGACCCAAGACTTCCCAGACACTCAGTTCCTAAGTATCCAAATGTCCACAATCCCACATCCCAGCAGTGACCACCATGAACTGAAAACCAACTCTGGGGAGTACAGTGGAGTGCTAACCAGACAAGGAACCTGGGCCAGGGCACAGGGAGTCATCACCCTGACAGGCTGCTGCTGGCAGACCACGGTGTGTGCTCAGGGAAACCCCCACCAATGTGGCATGGGACCCACCCCCAGACCAAGGACTTTGTAAGGTAACAGAAAATTCTAGAAAAGCACATTATGTGATTGCTCTAACTCCTCTGTGCCCAGCCCCTAAACCCCACTGCTGGGGAATTGATGCTGACTCATAGCCAGCCCATAGGACTGCCCAGAACTGGCCCTGAGGGGTCTCCAGCACTGTCATCTGTGGATATGAATTGCCTTATCTTTCTCCTGCAAAGCAGCTGGTGGATTTGAAGCCTAGACCTTTTGGTTACAACAAAGTGCATTCACCACTGTCCACCAGGGTCCTGCATGGCTCTTAGCAAACAATAGAGTATGTCATCAGTCCTCCATGTATGTGGGTTCCGATCTGCAGGCTCAACCAATGGAGGATCAAAAACATTCATGAAAGAACCCTACAAAGCAATCCCAAAAAGACTGCGGACTCATGAAGTGCCGTTTCCACTGCACCACATCATACTGGGCTCTGAGCAATCCAGACTCATTTCACTGGGAGGGCCAGAGTTGGATGCAAATACCAGGCCACTGTGCAAAAGAGACCTGGGTATCTGTGAAGGTCAGCTATCTCAGAGGGGTCCTGGAGCCAGTTTCCCCCCTTTTTTAAACATAAAGAATGTTTTCATTTTCTCCACTGTTGTACATTTTCTTCTCCTTGTTCCTGATTGTTGTCACACATATATGCATAACCCCTTAACCCAAAGGACCAACCCAGGCTATTCTTTGGCCCTGCAGGTTCTCAACCAACATCTCTGCAAAGGAGGTCCTAGGCCAGGGCAAGTACAAGATGGAGAAATACTGGGGTGCAAGTCACGGGGGGGGGCACACTGGATGGGGCCTCAAGGACAGAGAGCAGGTGTGCACAGTGTGCAAGACACCAGGGATGGAGCACATGTGGGACACAGTGGGTGAGGGCACAGTGGGCAGGGCCACAGGAGCAGAGCCTGGGTCTACTCACGCTAACATGCAGATGTTCCAGGAAGTAGCGTAACAGACAGGCACTGACCCCCAGCGCCCGCTCTCGCTCATGGCCACGGGGGGACTTGATCCACGGGCTCAGGTGCTGAAAGAGATGGGGTGGAGGTCTGGGGTTGCACCACAGGCTGCAAGGATGACTGGACTGAGGGTCAGACACCAGTGAGGGGGCCTGTGTACCTCCACCATGACCTGCAGGCCCTGAGGTGTCATGTTCCGACACAGGAGCTTAGTCAGCAGGTTCTCCAGAGCATGGATCGTGTCAAGGTACAAGACCTAGAAGAGAAATGTGAGGCTTCCATCTCTCCAGGTGACCCCATCCATGGCACGGGGTGCAGGGTGGTGGGAGGAGGTGCACACCTCATAGTCACTGGCATCCTCCCTGTCCGGCTCTGGCAGCAGAGCCATGACGCTGTGCAGGCAGCCATGGGCCACGTCTGCCTGCATTTTCTCGTCCAGCGGCGGTTCTAGGGAGCTGAGCAGCCAGTCAAGGGCAGCAGGGCAGTAGCTGGTTTCACTTGTAGGGGCCAGTTTCAAGGCCTGTGGGGCCAGTCCCGAGGTGTGCGCATGCATGCACATGCAGGGAGGTATGGACGTGCATGCACACAGTGACGTGGAGACACGCAGCAGGCACGCATACACGCACGCACCATCACCACGCGAAGGCACGCACACACGCACGCACACGCTGGCACACTCTCGGGCACCTACTCTCACACCCCGCTGGGCCACGCACCCTTGCTTGCAGGATACACCAGGAGTGCGCATGCCATCATGGCCTTCTTCCGCAGGGGTGTCCTCAGCAGATCTGGGGGCTCAGCCCGGATGAAGTCCTGTGCAGGCAGCTCCAGGCTCAGATCCAGCATTCCAACTTTCTCCCACGTGGATCCCCACCCCCAAACCCTGTATGTGCCCAGAGCCCTGGCACTCACCATCATGTGGGCCACCAGTTCTGCTTTCCGTGAGAAGTGAAAGGTGCTGGCCTGTGCACTGCCACAGATGGCCTGGCTGACCATGCACACACTCTGGACAAGGCACAGCTTCAGGGCCGGGTCCTGGTGAGGACAATGTACTGCAGGGACTGGCCCTGCCTGGCCCTGCCCCGCACAGCCTCTGCCCAAAAGAAGGCTCCCCACCAGTAACAGAAACAGTCCCCAGTTCTGCACAGACCCTGAGAAGCAGCCACTACCCATTGGTTAACAGTGCCCACAGCCCATCTCTTCCAGCTGGTCCACACATGGACAGAGACAAGCACAGAACACCTGGGCCTAGCTCTACTGTCCATGCTGACAGCCAGTCTCAGCCTTAGAATCTGAGCCCTGCAGTGTGGCTGGAGGGCTCCTACCTACACTGCGTACAGACACTAGAAGTCAGGGGAGACTCTCCTGCCTGAGGGGTGCTCGAGACAGCCTAAAGCACCCCCAGGCCCAGAGGTAGCACCTGAAAGAGCATATCTCAAAACAGGCCTCCTAGGAGACCAGGAGGGGCTCTTCTTCAAATAAGGACCCCCCTGGTCACATGAGGTGGCTGTGGCTCTTGAGGTTAGTGTCAAAGAGAGTGAGGAAGGCACACACGTTAGTAAGGCTGGAGAGGCGCTGGGCACGGCCAGAGGAGGTGGCAGCACTGTGACAAGGAGGAGGGTGCCTCGCCACAGGGGCAGGAGACCCCAACCCAGGGACAGGGTTGCTCTCCAGGAAAGCAGGTGGGCCCAGCAGTAGTGTTCCAGAATGTTCTATGGGAGGGGACGAGTGGCCCCAGCACACGCCCCTCTGGGTGCCCTGCAGCCCCCGCTCAAGTAGAGGAGAGCTGGAAGCAGAGTCAAGCCTGGCTCTCAGCACGGTACCTTGGTCTCTACCTTTATCCCCAGAACCTGAACAAGAGAAAGTGGGACAGTTACACAGGGCAGCCCTCACGCGCCCCCCGAGCCGGGTCCCGGCCCACCTTGGTGCTGAAATACTGGAACATGTTCCGGAGGATGTCAGCTTCTGCCCGAGCCAGCACCAGCTCACGGGGTGCCTGTGCAGCCACATGTCCGTAACACAAGATCAGTGCACTCCTGACCTTCTCCACCTCATTCTCACTGCGGTCCTGCAGCCCGTGGACAGCATACGTTCAGTGAAACCAAGACCCACCCACGCAAAGGCCTACCAGAGATGGCATAGTCACCACTGTCTGCCCCAGGGAAAGAGCGTCCAGGCCTGGGGCAAGAGTGATGGGCAAGGTCAAGGGGCTGGCTTGCGGGTTGTCAGCTAGCTATCCCCCTTGAACACTCAACAACTACACCTTCACTGTCCACAAGAGGGCCAAGTAACCAAGACAGCTGGGGATGTGACTCCCCTGCTCCAACTTCACTGTCCTCCAGTCTGGACAGCCATCATCCCTGGAGCTAAGCAGATTCAGTGAGGCCTTATACCCCCAACTGGACCCACCTTGAAAATGCTTAAGATGCCAATGGACTTCCTGAATACTTCAGACCGCACAAAGTCCTCCAGCTGGGCCAGGACGTCATCCAGATGTGAGATGGCACAGATGCCGAAACAGCAGGCCAGGCCCTGGAGGTCAGGAAGGGGCTCACTCAGGAAAGCCTCTCATGGGGCCCAAGTAAGAGGTCCCACACAAGTGTTCTCATGGGGGGGTGTCTTTGCAGGTGCTTGAATAGTGGATCCTACACAAGGGCTCACATGGGGACCCACTTGGGAGTGCACATAGGCTCACTGAAAGGGTCTCCTTGGGGGATGCAGACGGCAGCTTGAGTTGGGTTTCCCCAGGATGCGCTTGCACAGGGAGTTCCTGCATTCCGGTGGGGCAGCCAGCCCAAGGCTGTCCCAGAGTGGCCTTGAGGGTGGCAGAGCCTGAAGGAGAGCACCAGGCCCTGTTCTGTGGGGAAGTCCCCTGCACTTGCAGTGGAATCTGTGCTGACAGAGGCCTTACACTGCACAGGTGCTAGCCTGGGGCAGGGGAACTGGCAGGCTGGCCTTAAGGAAGGCTGAGCAGCAGCAGAAGGGCTGGGCTGGCCGAGCATAGTGCGTTAACAGTACAAGTGTGCACAGACCCCGCCCCCCACGCATGCAGGGTGCCCCCCTCCCCGGGACCCTGAATACCTCGTGCTCTGCCTCCACCTGGTATCTGGCCATCTCCAGTAGCTCTTGAAGGTGCTTCCTCACCACCTCCTTACTGGATATGGCACCCAGGGTGGTCCCTATACACTTATACAGGAAGTTCTGGATGGAAGAGGGGGCATAGGGTCATCACTCCAGTGCAAAGGGACGCCTGCCAGCCCTGTCAGCATGGTGAAGGGTGCAGGAGAAGATGAGGCTGACTAGGCTGGGCCATGACTCTGATGTGGACACCCTGGGTGGTGCAGGGCAGCAGGACCCAACCCATAGGCCTCGGCACCTTCTCCTGGGACACCCCATTGTAGGAGGGCAGCTGCCTGCACATCTCCAGGCCCAGCTGGCAGATCCACGTGTTGTCGGACACGACGGCCAGGGTTTCCCGCAGGAACTGTGAGTGAAGAGAGATGCCAGTGGGGAGAGGGCAGCACGGCCCGGCATCTGGGGTTGGGGACAGTCTCTCCACCCATCTCACCATCAGGAGCTTTTCCTCCCACTCCTTCCGAGGCAGGGTCTCCTCGCTGTGTTCTGAAATAAGAGGAAGCCAGCAACCCACTCACACGCACAGGCCAGCGCCTGGCACTCCCTCCTGGCAGTCCAGTTACCAAGGTCCGAGTGCAGGGGCCCCTGTTCTGCCCCAGGAAGAAGTCTCACCATCCAGGTGCTGCAGCAGCTGAGGGACCAACTTCTCCCACCTCAGGCCCAGCAGTGGGTGGATGTGATGATGGAGAACTTGGAGGAGCCGCAGTGAAGCCGCCCCGCGGCCATCCCCCACGTAGGGGTCAGAGGACACGACCTGTGAGGGACCTTGGGCAGTGCACTGACCAAAGGGCATGCCTGCTGTGTGCCATTCCCCCTGGGAAGCTGCAAGCACTGGGCATCAGGAATCCTGGAGCCCTGCCCATCTCCTGAGCCCAGAGCGGGGCTGAGCTTACCAGTATCCGGGTGGTGATAGCGTAGGGGGACGGGAGGCTCCCTAAAAAGAAAGGCACAAGGGTGCTGTCATGTGGGAGTGCTCCCCCACACCCCTAACCCCAGCCAGGCAGGGTACACACCGCTGGCCTCAAATGGGATGAGAAAGGCTTCAGCTCCAGCCTCCTGCCTCTTCAGGGTAAGGTGAGCCAGGCTCCGACAGAGTGGGCCCAGTGCCCCAGTGAACCGCACAGGTGTGAGGAACTCAAGCAGGTATGGCCAGAGCACCTGGGGGCACAAGGCCTGTGTGTGGGGGAGGGCTGGCCCAGCAGATGCACACGTGTGGTTGGGGAGCCCTGGACAGCCCAGAGGAGTGGCATGCCATTGTTCCTTGGAATGGCAGCATCCACAGGGGCACCTGGTTGGAGACCACATGTACACGCCCCCTCCCAGTAGCACATCTTCTGCCTGAGGGCCCTCAGGTGAGGGGGATGAGGTACAGTGGGCAGCCAGCCAGACTCAGCCCCCGACTGCCGCCCTTCATGGCCATCTGGGGCAAACAGGCCCCCACGTTGGGGAGGGCCTGGCCTCAAAAGGAGGTCCTTGCTCGGGCCTGAGATGGATGGGGGTTGCCCAGGGCTGGAGTGGGCTGGTGGGGCCATACACTCACGTCACTCATCCTGTCCACAGTGGTGCTGATGAGGTAGAGGGTGCTGATGCTGATGGCGCGGACGCTGTCTGCAGGCAAGTCCTCGCTGCCTGTACCTGCTCTCTCAGCCTAGGGGCAAAGGTGACATGTGAGTGTCTGCAAGGTGACCCTGCAGATTACTATTCATTAGGGTCCAGCAGCTGGCCACAGGGGACCACCAGGCCACCACTAGCTGCAACCAGCCCGCAGGCATGCGCCCACCAACTCCTATCAGCAAAGTAAAGACAGTTTTGACAAGTCGAATATGGCATCTTTTGTTGCCATGCAGGCACTGGATAAAGGGGGAAGCCACAGGTGAGCTCCCTAGTGACTATCCCCCACTGTGGCCTCAGGAGGAGAGGGGTGCTCCCAGCAGAACCTGGGGAGTCCCCTCACCTGTGGCAGCAGGGCCCAAAACCTGGCTCCAGAGGAGCTCTCCAGGCCCTAACCTCAAGACCCATGGTGTGACCCTCCGGAACAAGGTCAGTGTCAGTGATGCTGTGATGCTGTGCGACATGAGGTTACACTAGAGCAGGTGCTATGAACACTGAGTGCTGTCCCAGTTAAAGAGGAGACAGCCGTGTGAAGCTGCATCTACAAACCACAAACTCCTGGGCCCAGGAAGTTGGAGAGACAAGGAAGGGTCTTCCTGAGAGCCGGCAGAGCTCGTCCCATCTCAGTGCAGTCACCTTTCCGCACAAAAGACAGTGTTTTTTTCACAGCCCCTAGCTGGCTGCGGGTTGGGCCCTAGCTGGCTGGGGGTTGGGCCCTAGCTGGCTGGGGGTTGGGCCCTAGCTGGCTGAGACTGGCCCTTCACTGATGGTTCTGTGTCAACATTCCTGGGAGACCCTTTCTAAATGCTCTGTGGCCCCAGCCATACTTTGAAATACTGAAAAGCAAAAGCTGAACTGTAAGGGAGCTCTGGTGGACTAGTGGCAAGAAGCTCTACTGCAATCCCAGAGGTGTGTGGTATGAATTTACCAGATGCTCTGCTGGAGAAGGAGGGACAATCTCTTCCTATACCAGTCAGCTCTGATCTGATGGCACACACACAAAAACTAAAAAACAAAACAAAAAATCCAAAAACAAAAAAACAAAACAAAAGCTGAACTGTGAAGAGAAACTAGCAAACCTGCAATGACTACAGGAAATTTTTAGCACATCTCTTCCCTAAAGCCAAAAACCGAGAAAGAAAGGAAAAAAAAATTAGGGATGTTCTGGTCGTGCTCAGTAATAAGGAACTTTGCTACCAACACAAAGGTACGTAGTTCAAATCCACCATCTGCTCGGAGAAAGATGGGCAATCCCCTTCAATGTGGTTTACTACTTCTGACAACCCATTGGAGGGTCAGCTATGAGTCAATTCTGACTTGGCTGTATGTTGTTGTTGTTATGCGCTGTCGAGTTGCCTGCGACTCATAGCGACCCTATGTACAACAGCCCTAAACCCCGCTCTGTCCTGTGCCAATCGC